GGCGGTGTTCTTGGAGCATTACCTGTGAAAGCCACCTCCGCAGGAGTGACCTTTGGGTGTTCCATATTTGGGGACTTGCCTTTTAGTCCGTGGAGCAGCGACCCTCTGGGAGGGCAGGTTCAGCAATAAACAGCTTCTCTGGGCAGCTCAGGTGGTGGAAAAGGGCAGGAAGGTGGGACCAACATGTTCTCCCCAAGTTCTGCTGCCAGCAGGGTGGCTTTTCTGGTGGCAGCTGCTCAGCAGGCTTCTGCCCCTTCCCTTTGACCACCACTACATTTCAGGACCTGTAGTTTGCCAGCCCGAATTATGCAAGGACCCAAAACATTGCTGGTGGGGCATGCAAGGGGATGTTGGAGGAGACAGCACAGCATTAGGAAGGAGAGATACCCCTTCTGCTCTCCAACAAACTGTCCACCAGCTCGAACAACAGAGAAGCCATCTGCAGCATGAAGGCATGAATCCTGCATAAGGATTCAAAGTTTTGGGGGAAATACTCTAGACTTTTGCCATCTCCTCCTGCTGCTTCTGAAAATAAAAACCTAACATTTTGGGATATAAAATCATCATCATTTCATCAACCAGGTTCTGACCATCAATAGAAACTGCAGTTTTAAAGAGAGTAGGAGAGAAACAGCAGAGCGGTGTATATTGTTTGAGGGACATTCCCTCATTCTCTCCTGTTGTTCTCCTTGCATTGCTTGAGTTTTGTTCTTCCACTGCTATCAGCTAGGGAAACAGAAAGCTACCCATGCTTAAGAGAAGTTTACTCATGATGGCTCTCACAGAGACCCAAATGTCCCAGTGCCCTGCCTAACAGCCTGAGCAGCTGGGGAAGATGAACACATAGGAAGAAATCCAGGCCACAAAGCCATAATGTCACCCCACAACTAAAAAACCTGACCATGCTGAGACATCTACCCATCCCTATTTGTAACCTTCTCTGCTGGATTTTGTATGCTATTTAGCAGCAAAACTGACACCAAATGCAAGGTTTGGCACAATCACTGTTGTTTGCAGCTGGAAGAGGATCGTGGCCAGGCACCTTTATACCAGTGACAGTTCTGCTGCTCTATAACCTAGGATTTCAGAATGACCCTGTGGGACTTCTTAAATCTCCTAAAAGCACCCTAGCATCACACTTAAGTTCAGATGGGTATGGTAGGTGTGAAGCTGAGATATTCTGGCAGAGAGTTGTTTCTTTCCATCCCCATTATTCAGACTGCCTGTAACTGTGGACACCATCCAAGGTGAGGTGGTGCTTGGTTACTTGGTGGTACTCAAGTTTCATTTTAGGCTGGCACCTCTTGCACATCCCATGGAGCCATGGACTCCCTCACGCTTACCCAAATCCAAGTATGGCTATTAGCTGTGGGAAGTGAGAAAAAGGAGGAGTGCTCCCAAACTTGCACCTGCTTTTCCCAAGGTTGCACAGGACACAGCTTGTGCTCCTGTGACTAGAAAGTGTGCATTGCAAAGGCTTCAAGCACATGAGAGGAAGGCTGCAAACTGGGCATGGGATATGACCTCACAAGCAACTGTGGTCTTTGCTCATGGTCTAGGCCAGATCTGCCTGCCCAAAGCTCTTTCTGTACCTCGGGGACTACATGACCAGTTAGGTCCATTTCTTCCAGGGCAGTTTCTCCCCTCCATTTGCCCAAGCAGATGTTGAAGCTAAATTACTCACTATAGAGGCTGACACAAAGACAAGGGCTCTGGCTGGCCAAGAAGACTTCAAGTGATATGAATTCAAAGGGAGGAGGAGGAGGGGTTGTGTTCTTACATTACAGCCGCCTCTGTCCCAAGGTCCTGAGCCAAGAGGATTGTCAGGATTAGAAACATTATCTGCATTCAAATCCCACTAGCATTATGGAATCAGAAAATACTGTAAGGGGATATAGAAATGCTTGATACTGTAATAAGCAGGGGGCAACTAGCCAAGCTGCTGTGCCTCTGGCATACTCTATATTTTGCTGCCTTATGGGGTTCAAATATAGGTGTGGAAATACATCTTCACCTAAGCACTGGTCAGACTCATCTGCTGCCAGTAGAAAATAGAGAAAGCAAGAGCAGGAGCGATGTCCAGCCCTTGAATAGCTGGCACTTGAAAAGGCCACCATAGGTACTTACAACCTGCAAAGGTCTCCTGAGAAGCCTCTTCAGAGGAACATCTTCAAACACTTGTACCCATGATACCTACACCTCCTAGAGACAGTCTTGCTAGACACAGGCACACATCCCTGCCACGCTGACAGGCACATCTCCAGCATTACCGTGACCTTTTTTGCCTCCCGATCCCTAAGAAAGTGCACACTCCCACAATCTTACACAGAGGCTTTCATCCCACCACCCACAATTTCTAGACACATTTGCTCTTTACCAACAAGATCCCATGCTCACAGCTACACAGCTGCACCCACACCTCTTTGAAGAGCTACCTTGCCTATGCTCACATACATTATTCCCAATCAACACCTCCTCTCTTGCAAACATCCCCGCTCACACCCAACTATTTGTCTGCAGCAGGTGTTGCAACCTCACACGATGAAGGCACATTTCTGAGCTTCTCCAAACACCCCCAAGAAACTCTAACCATCTCCTGTGTGCAGGAGTCAAGAACTATTTGGTTTAAACTTGTGCCTTGACTTTGTTGGCACATGGCTAACATAGTTGTAAGTAAGTAGATAGATCAAGTATGGACTAGACTGGACATAACTGGGCAGCCTTCTTCCCTTGGGCTTTCTGTGTTTTACCTCTGGTCCCAGCACAGCCAGAGCCTCAAGCGTTAACTCTGAGGAACTTCTTGCTGCTCTACAACTGCCAACAAGCAGGGACTTGCTGACAATGTCCCCTAAAGCTGATGATCCTACAGGCTCTATCTCTTCGTCCAGTAAAGGCAGATCCTCATAATGGGGAACAGAAAACAACTTCTCCCACCACTGCATGCTTGCAGATGTCTAGGGAGCTCACAAGAGGTGTCCATCAGCAGGATATCAGCTGCTCTCAGGTGCCTTAATGTGGGTGGCCATGGCCTGAGCCAGGAGATGAGATGCCAGATGAGTCAGACCAGTGCTCAGTTGCCTTATCAACAGATGTGCAAACATGGACCATTACTCTGTTCCGTGCAGGCAGTACCCCCTGTGAGCACGAGCCCTGAACGTGCAGCCTTGCCGCTATTTCAAAGCACTGGCAGAGAGCAAGGAAAGAGGGGTGAGACCGTGTGTTTTCTGCGTAACATGGAGCACTCCTTTTGCCTCACATGGTGGCATTTCCTCCTAAAGACAACAGGGTAGTAGCCACAGGGGAATTAAGGTTGAAGTGGTGCAGTGATGGTTAGTGGAGAATACGTCCTTCTGGAGGGCTTTGGGACAGGCCTGGGGACACGTATTTGGTGCAAGGGAGAAGACAACCATGTTCTTCATCACTCCCCTTCACCCAAGCAAGGTCCCTTAGCCCTGATCCCCAGTGTGCCTGCAGTTTCCTCTGGGATTTTGGGGAAGGGCTGGGCGCTGCCAGCCTGGGGAGCTGGCTAACCCCACAATGCCCTGGGGTGCAGGCAAGGGGGCTGCCCCACTGCTTTTATTCCCCGATGCCTTTAATCACCACTCGCTCTCACAGTGGCTGGATACAGGAGGAGACTATTTATAACGGGGAGCCAAGGGGCCGCAGAGCCAGCACTGCTGGGTGACATTCAAACCGGCTTTGAGGCCGGGGGGGTGGTGTCAAAATAGGCCCTGGGGGAGGGCATTCATCATAAATCAGCCCACCATCCCTCTGTCCACAGCCTTTCTTCTGCCCCCCTCCAGTCTCCCACCACTGAGCACAGGCAGCTGTGCCCTAATAGGGACATTCCTGTCCCAGAGGTCCCCAACCCCTCATTTCCATCACCTCCCCCCATCCGGCTGGGCTAAGAGGGGTAATAGTAAGACGACCATCAGCATCAGAGGCATTTGTGGAGCAGGGAGGGAGAGAGAGGACGAGGGGGCTCTTACAGATGCTTGGTGGCCTCAGAGCATCATTACCACCTTCTAGGGTCTCTAGCATGCTTGTGGTGGGGCTAAGTTAGTCATCTGGTGAGTAAGGGAGCTCATTTCCCAGGGTCACTGCATCTCTACAGAGCCCATCTGGAATTCACAGGGTCTCACCCGGGGCTGCTCCCACCGTGGGGCACTTGCAGAGAGTCTCTCCTTTCCTCACATATCTATTTTCACAAAACAGGCAGGAACTCGATATCTTCAAGGGGCCCCTTCGTCACAAATGGTGGGAATGGGGGGCAGTGGTTTCTGAAGCTGTGAGGACGCAAACACGAACATGGCTGGTATTAACCTCCTTTACTTAGGAAAAAGAGGAGACCAGGAGCTGGGGCATCACTGAAGCCTGGACGGGAGACATGACTTAAAGCATTTCATAGAAAAAGGGATCACCTTTTCAAAGCCAGGAGTCCCTCTGCTTTATTTTGCTGGGAGCCTGCTTCAGCAATCCTATCACACATACAAAGGAAATGTGCCTTGCATCCATCCCTTCCAATTTGCAGCCACTGCTGCCTGGCACCAAGCACTTCCAGGGTTAAAATATCCATGGTGCCCAAATGTCACACTTCCCCGTAAAAGGCCACAGAGGCAGGAGACAGTTTCTGCTTTATGTTGGTGGCATAGGTCTTTCTCCCAGCCATGCCCACTGCTTGGCTGGGACCAATTTGGTGTCTCCGATTCTGCTGGAAGCTGTCTCCCAATGCCCAAGAGTCAAACAGCAGTTAGCAGCACATGGTATGGTCAGCAAACTCGGTGCTGCGACACAGTGGGAAGAAACCCAACCCTTGTGACCTCTGGGCAGCGTTATCTCAGCAGGGAGGCAGCATGTGATGCATCCCACCCATTGGTGCTGCCTGAAAGCAGAATATGGGTCACTTGTGTCTGTTGTGCCATGCTGGCAGGGCATGATGCCCTTTAGCTACCCTGTGGTGTTAATGCTGCTCATGTTGGGCTCTCTGGTTTCTCCCACAGCTGGCGGCTCAGGTCCTGGAGCCCAGGAGCATCGGCTTCGGGATGGTGGACTCCAAAAAGGATGCCAAACTGGCTAAAAAGCTAGGTGAGTCTCATATCTGACATCTCTGGAATAGCTTGGAGAGGGTGTTGGAGTGATGCCCAACAGCCAGCCTCATAGAGGACAGCCAAATCCTTGTCAGCAGGATGGGGAGGGTGATGGTGGCCATAGCACACTAAACATCTTCCCACCCCAACATGGCCAGGATCAAGCTGGGGGACAAGGATGACAGTAGTGAGCTGACACCCTTCCATCAAAAAGCTTCCTGGCTGAAAGTGCCAAAACAAAACCAAACCAAGTGAAAAGAAAGGCCAATTCATGCCATAGCAAGGACAGGGTGGAAGCTCACAGCTTACTGAGCAGAAACTGTAGACAGACGTCATGGAGTAACTCCAC